CAGAACTTTCATTTGGGAAAAAGACATTACACAAGTGAGTGTATCAGTTGAAGACTGAGCACGATGACAGCAAGATGTACAAGGTTAGACTTGTTGTAAAAGGTTTTCAACATAAGCATGATATTGATTATTCCGAGATTTTCTCTTCTGTGGTGAAGCTTACAACCATCAGAATGATACTGTCTATGGTGGCTACTGAATATCTCTTTCTTAAATAGTTAAATGTGAAAACAATCTTTCTTCATGGGGATCTTGAAGAAGACATCTACATGCACCAATTTGAATGGTTTGTGGTATAGAGAAATGAAAACTCAGTTTGCAGATTGAAGAAGAGCTTGTATGACCTGAAACAAGCTCTTAGACAGTTGTACAAGAAATTTGATAATTTCATGTACAATGCAAGGTACAACAGATGTCAGGCAGGCCACTATTGTTATGTCAGGTATTTTGACAATTCCTATATCATCCTACTGCTGTATGTAGATGATATGTTTATTACAGGGGCTAGTATTAATGAGATCAATATCTGAACGAGCAGATATCAAAACACTTTACAATGAAGGATTTGAGAGCGGCAAAACAAATCCTTGGTATGAGAATTGTCAGAGATTGGGTCAGAGGCACGTTGAGACTCTCTCAGACTGAGTATGTGAAAAAGGTACTTAGCAGGTTCAATATGGATAAGACCAAACCAATTGGTAAACCCTTGGGAAGTCACTTCAGGCTCAACAAAAATCAGTCACCCAAGTCAGTGGAGGAATGGTATCACATGAGTAAGGTTCCTTATGCTTCAACTATTGATTCACTTATGTATGCTATAGTTTGCACCAGACCAGATATTGCCCATACAGTGGGAGTTGTTGGCAGGTACATGAGTAATTCATGAAAGAAACATTGGGAAACAGTGAAATGGATCTTGAGGTACCTAATGTGTTTCTCATGAGAGAGTTCAGAGATGCAGAACTATGTTGATGCTGATCTAGATGAAGACATTGATACCATAAGAAGTACTACAAGCTATATTTATATTATTGGTGGCACTGTAGTATCGTGGGACTCTAGTCTACAAAAGACAGTTTCTTTGTCTACTACAGAAGCTGAGTATATAGCAGTGTCAGAACCTGCAAAGGAGATGATATGACTACATGGCTTCTTAGAAGAATTGGGCAAGAATCAGAAGAGCATTCTCTACAGTGATAGAGTATTGCTAGGAACCCAACATTTCAGTCCAGGACTAAGCACATTCAGATCAGGTATCACTTCATACGGTCATTGTTGGATGACAGACAGTTGTTGCTTGAGAAAATTTATGTCAGTTAGAATCTTGTTGATATGTTGAATAAGGGTGTTACTCTTGAGAAACTGAAGTTGTGCGCAACTTCAGTTAATCTTCTAGCTTGAATACATAGACATTGAGTTGCAGAGGTGGTATATATCAGTTTGAGAAAAAAAACGATGTTGTCTGTGTACCGATCTTCAAGTGGGAGATTTGTTGAAGTGTAGTTCGATTTATGAAAAAAAAAAATTTGCTTGCCGCCTCTTTCAACTGTTCCCGCCTCCCATTCTTGGAAGAGGCACACTTCTTTGTTTTGGTAGGTCCCACCAACCAATTAATGCATAGCAAAAGCAGAAAATTGGGATTGGGTGCTGTAACAGTTACTCTCCAAAAAGAAAAACAAAAACAATGGCTTCTTTACGTTTCTTTCTCTCCCTCGTTTTTTTTCTTCTGCGTTGGTTTATAGGTGAAGAAAGCATCGCATGGCTAATACTCCCTTGTGTTCTTCTTGGTCATTGGCTCGCGACAAGAGGAGAAGAATTATCGAAGGCAGTGCTTCCTAGTCCTTTGGTTGTTGCTCTCTGGGGTAGAGAGAAGGAGAGGTGAGAGAGAGGGAGAAAGAAAGAGAGTTTTTGTAATCGTCGAGGAAGAAACAAAGGTGAAGGAATACATCGACTTTGTAATTCCATGAAGTTGAGATAAATGTTTCTTGTAAATTGAAACATTGTGGTGTAAACTCCTCAAGCAATAAATACTTTTGCAACTCCGTGGATGTAGGCAATTTGCCGAACCACGTAAATCTGTGTATTCTTTTATGGTGTGAATTTTTCTCGTTCTATCTCGTTCTATTTTTTTTTCGCTTCGTCGATCGTTCTATTTCATATATACCACAACATTGTCACCCATCCTGACCCCTCCCAAAGCCGCCGTAGCCCTCGACAATGCTTTTACTTTTCAGGGAATGAAAAAGCTGAGTTTGTAGAATAAGATATTACATATTACTTCACCTTCAGTTTACCAAACAACCCCTTATGATGCCAACAAAACATTTTATAGTTCACCAAAAGCAAATCTTTATAAAAATCAAATTAGTGTGTAATAAATAGAAGAAATATTTTCAAGATACTTTTTAATAGTTGATAGCTTTATTCTCCATTCGGTTCAAATGACATTTTTTTATATTTTCATATTTTCATGTTGAATCTTTGTCAAAATGTTGAATTATTTTTGTGGCAGGCCGTGAATGTTGTTTGTCTTCTATAAATTAACTAATATTGATAAATTTACATTTAAATGATTCTTAATACAACTTATATTTACATTCATAATATTTTGGCATCATAAATTTATGTATGACATTGTGCATCTAACTTTTTTAAATAAAAATTAGCTGAATTTATGATGTGATGTACAAAATGTGAGTTCTATGCATACAAATATGAAGAATTAGATGTTTGATATGCAAATATAAAAGAATTATATGGTCTGTAAATGTCTTGAAGGGAAATTTACATATGCATTACATAATCAGCTAACTTAAATGAAGGTTTGTTTAATATAAGTTTATATTTGTACTCTTTTTTCCCTTTTGAGTTTACTATTCTTATTAATGACCTCCTGAAAGTATTATGATTAATGACAAGGTAGCTCAAAGTTGTAATTAAATATTATCGTTTATTTTTTTTTAATTGTTTCAAATTATTGTTGTAATATTTTCATTTCTTAAATTTTAAATAGAAGGTAGTAGTTATCATGTGTCATATATAGTAAAAATGTATTTTCATGAAGGGTGGTCATGTAATATCATTGAATTTTCATCAAAAGGGGTAGCACAAATTTCCAAGTTAAATCCAATTAGAAGTAGACCGATATTAGGTCCAATCTTTTTTATATTTTAAGAATCAAAATCATGGATGAATCATTTTATTGGTCAAAGGTCATTTCTATAATTCAAGGTCAAAGTCTTCTCCACCGTTTTCTCCACCTTCTCCAACATATTTCAAGGAATTTGAAGGCATAGCCTTAATTGTCATTCAATGGAATAAAAATTGCATTTTTTTGAAAGACACATAGAGCACAAGAAAAATTAGGATAAAGATTGAGGGCGCGTTTCGTCTCGATCGCGGTGTGGGGAAGCTGAAAAAAATTGTATGTTATGTGGATGCAAGATGTTCCGGTCGCTTCTTTCATTGTTTCGCGATCTTTGCCACTTGAAAGATAGGGTTTTTAATTTTTTTTTTAATAAAAATGTTTTAAGTAATTCAGTTTAGAAGCACTATAAATTTTCTTTCTTAAAATGTAATGAAAAAGAGAAGAAAAAGATATTAAAAGATAGATATAATTTAAAAAAGAGATGAAGTATACAAGAAAAGATAAGAAAAAATGGCTACAATAATGTGCATCCAAACCATCAAGAAGATTGGAATACATTGCTTCATCCCCACCATTAAAAACATGAGGTTAAAGAGGGACTATTAAATTCTCAATTGACATTGTTGGAGAGGAAGACCTAAAGTGAGATCCTTTCAAAATGTATGTTGCAAATATATATGAAAATGATTTGTAAGATCAATAGAATTACTAATTACGGATGAAAAACTTGTTTATGGTGAGAGTTTAAAATTGAGATATGATTATTTCATCTAATTTAAATTCACCCTGATTTTCATAAGAAAAAATTGTTACGTCACGTTCATCTAACTCAAAATTATTAAATTATCTACACTACATATGGAAAAAAAAATTAAATTTTACTATTTATATAGAAAAATCTCAAATTTCAGGAGCAATTGCTCATCCTGGATAAATATAATCTGATTCAGTCCTTAATGCCAGCCTAAATTTTGCATTACAACTTCTAATATAAAACCGCATGCTTATGAATTTTTATTACTCAATCGAACCTTTTCTTTTAGTTTCTTCGCTACGCACAACTTTTTAAAGCATAAAACTTCAAAATTATTAAATCATCTACGCTGCATATGAAAAAAATATTAAATTTTATTATTTATATAAAAAAAATTTAAATTTGGTAATTATCCATCTTGAATATAACCTAGTTCCACCCATTTTGCAAAGTATAAATCTTCATTTTATAATTTAACTTAATCATATTTGTGTAATATTTTTGATGAACCGAAGAAAAATTTACGGGACCCATAAATTTTACTTTATAATAATAATATTGAAGTTTTATGCTACATATAATTTTGAAAATATGTTTTCAATAATAATATCACATAAAAAAGTATCACATTTTTTATTTTGAAAGGTGAAACGTATTTTTCATTATACATACATATATATATATATATACTTCGGCATGTAAATACATAAGAATTTTGGGGTATTGTAATATATATAGATATCTCCCTAAAAAATAATTTATGGCGCATAAAATAAATAAAAAGTATGTTTACTGAAAATACGCGAGATACACTGACACCATTACTTCTTCTCCAATCCACTTGTCCCGTGCGTAGCAGCGAAACTGCACATTTTGCTCGATCGCTTTCAGAAGAATTTCTTTCCTTCACCATTGCATCTTCTCTATCTATCTGTCAACTTCACTCACCTCCTTAGGTTTTCAATTGGGGTCAAAACCTAGCCCGGAACATAGGGCAATCAACTCCTCCCCGTTTGTGAACCTCTGATTTTTCTTTCGCCCATCTTTTTCCTGTACCCTGTCGGCCAATCGAGTACTCTCTTTCGGGAGAAACTCTTTCCCTCTTCGAACGATTTACCGGGACGATGATTGGGGACCTGAATCCTAAGGGTCGCAGCTTAGTTTTCTCGTAGAGCTTTTATCGTCGTGGTAGGAGTTTCTGTGTTGGCTTTAAACTTGGATTTGGCATTGAAGTTTTGTGTTTCCGATGGAGCCTCGTGTAGCCAACAAGTTCCGGCTCGGTCGCAAGATAGGAAGCGGCTCTTTTGGGGAGATCTATTTAGGTATTTCTAATTGTTCTGTTTGAAATGCTGTTCGATGATGTTTGAGAACTTAGGTTTTTATATGGTTTTTGATGTATGCTTCACATTTATATATATGTATATTTTCTTTTGTAGGTACTAATGTGCAAACGAATGAAGAGGTTGCTATTAAGCTGGTGGGTTGATTGGTTCAAAATGAGATTTTTGCTGCTTAAAATATTTTTCTGTTGATCTCTAACTTGTTTTTATATACATTGGCGTGGACGTTAGGATGGGGTTTTAAGATTGGATAGTTATTGCCATCTTCACATTCTTAAATACATGCATGCCCTAGCCTGTGAAACTTTACCCAGCTTTTTTTTTTTGTATAATATGTTTGACATTGCAGTAGTTGCTAGGGATAGGTTAAGCATTAACTGTAAATTAGTTTTTTTTTCTATAAGAATGAATTGGGTGATAATTTCATTTATCCTTTTTATGGGGCTATTTTTCCTTTAATGAGTTTTGACAGGCCGCAAAGGAGTAGAATTTAATTACTTTAAATCTTAACCATACTGCTAGGCTTTGTTAACTGTCTTGATTTTGCTAGCTTTTTGCTCTTTTACATGTGTGCCCTTAGTTACCGTTAGGTGATACTCTCGAAGTATTCAGGCCACTACTTCCTTATATGTAACTCATGATTACATTACTTATATGAATAGTTTGATGGCTGGCAGAATGTTGTTGGAAATAATTCAGGTTTTGGAGGTTTGGAACCTTGGTTTGGTAGTTCAGTGAGAATTTCTTTGGGGGTCAGCTTCTTCCTTTATTATATCCTGGGGCCATTGTTCTGAAATTCTTTTATCAGTTGCAAGAGATATCTTGGTTTATAATGGATGCTTATTGTGACATTGTAATCACAACTTTGCAATTTGTTTTTTGCTTTTATGTCTAATTTCATTTTTCGTTATTTGCATAATTTGCTCGTAGGATAGAAGAAGAATGCACTCATAACTTGAGGCAGCGTGAGTAATTTGATAAAAATGAAAGGTGGATAGAGCTGTAATATTACCATTATTAAAGGGGTTGCTAACATTTGCTCTTCCAATAATTAAGAAGCAACCATTCGTCCTCACTTTTTATAGTCGTAAGTGAGTTTTGGTTTGTGGCCAAAATGATTGGTTATCATGTCCTCTGTTTCAGGAAATTGTTAAGACAAAGCATCCCCAACTGTTATATGAGTCAAAACTATACAGGATTCTTCAAGGAGGAAGTAAGTGCTCAGTTTCTACCTGTTTTTTGGATCTATGAATCCTTCATTGATAAAAAATTACTTTGATTTTGGTAGCGGGAATTCCGAATGTAAGATGGTTTGGTGTAGAAGGTGACTACAATGTGCTTGTGATGGACCTATTGGGACCGAGCCTTGAAGACCTTTTTAACTTCTGTAGCAGAAAGCTTTCTTTGAAGACTGTTCTCATGCTTGCAGATCAGATGGTATTTATATACTATGTGCTCTCTATGCCTTTTATATGGTCTTGCTTAGATGGCTTATTGTAGTAGTATATGGTGATATTTTGTTAGATCAATAGAGTGGAATATATACATGGAAAATCCTTTCTTCATCGAGACATAAAACCAGATAATTTTCTCATGGGTTTGGGCAGACGTGCAAATCAGGTAATATGAAGTTGGGCTTCAGCATTTTATTTAATTTAGTACTTGTCATTTTTCAAACACATTTATTCAATAACTGCTTTTAATTTAGGTTTACGTTATTGATTTTGGTCTTGCAAAGAAGTACAGGGATTCTTCAACCCACCAGCACATTCCGTACAGGCAAGCACTGAATTTGATTTAAAGTTGTAATGCCGCCATCTCTTATGCATATATGTAATAAGAGTGGTGATTTTTTCATATGCGTATTGTATTCCATATAGAATGTTTTCAGATGGAAATCAGCTTGATGATTGTTTCTGTTGAACAGAAAGGTGTGATTCGTTATGTTTAATGTGCATAAATGATTTAAACAATTTGGTTTTCATAATTTTTTGTTTAGTTATTGGTTATTGTATAGGTATTAATTTTTATTTCCTTATAAATGTATTAAAAATATCCAATTCCTACTTCTTTTCTTAAGATGCGTGCATTGAACTAAATACATCTTCTAAAGTCTTTGAATGGATCAGAGAAAAGCTACCAACTGAAAGCCATAACTTGAAGATGGCGCAACCATCAATACTGCGAAAGCGGATTCGATGAACCTAGCAGCTGTACTGACTTGTTTACAAATTGAACAAGGATTTTTGCCTTTTGTAGTTTTTTTTTTGTTTCTTTTCTTCTGATCAGGGTTTCTTTCTAGCAGGAGACTATTTATATGTTTATTTTTTTGTGTGGAATTTTTGGCTTTGTTTATGTTTTTTGAGATATTTTTTCTTGGGTTTCTCTATTGAAGTGCTGCATCATTGAATTTCTTTCAGGTGGCGTGTCCGTAATTTGATAGGATCAAGGTGGTGATCTCTTCTGGACATTCAAAGGCATCCTTTGCTGTTGAACTTGCTGTCTACTGCTGTTGACAGCAGAAGTCTGCTGTTTGGCAGCAGAAAACAACAGTTTTTTTTTGCTTCCGGTTCGTTGACTCGCCGTCGTTCACGTCAGAATTCAACCACCATCATTCCTCCTGCTTTTCTTACCCTTCCTACAACTTACATATCCCTTTTTTGTGTTCTTTTATACCTTTAAGGAGACTAAGAACGATATCACTGGTATTAGGGCCAGGCAAATCTTAGGTTTTTAGGGATTTATCTTTTTTGCCTCAGATCCAAAAAAAAAAATCTCATCTTACCTGAATCATTTCTATCACAATTTATAGCCCTAATCATAAATTTTGAAAATCAAACTTTTCTACCTTCACAAGACACCTACCACTAAAATCTAAGCCCTAGACAAACCTTTGATTTGAAATTCTATATTCGCTGAAAACATGATCGGTAGAAAATGTAGTCTTGCCACAAAAGAGAAACCCTCAGTGAGGTGTTCAGGGAATTTGGAAGATATGCAGCGAGCGATGATATTAAAAGAGTTCGATCTAATTAAGAAGCCGTCCAATATTGGACACATATTAAACTCGAACGCGACTTCGTCAAGATATAGAAGAGTTCGATTTAAATAATATTAAAAGAAAAGAGAATATGCTTGTCGACTATTCTAAATTAAATAATTAAAAATTTTTGCAAAAATATTTTCAAGATTAAAATTAAAAAAAGTATGTGAAATTTAAGGAAGATTTTCATTCATATCACTCAATTTTTATGTATTTATATATCTAGCACATAAATATCAATTTTTACATATATGCGACCTCACATATATAGCAAAAATGTATATTTAATTTTCTTAAAAATTTAAAATAGGGATTTATTAGATGTGATATGAAATGTTTGGGTGGCATAAATGTAAAAATCAAAATTTAGGTGTTAGATGCATAAATACATTAGAATAAGGCGTCGAAGATGGCGGTAATCCTTTTATTTTTTAATGAATAGTTGATTAAGAGTACTTAAATTTTTATGTAAGATAAGATAATATATGCTTCTTTTTTATGTCATAAACTATACAATTATTTATGAACATGTTAAGGACCGTTTGGGATTGCTTTTGTTTTTGTTATTATTTAATTTTTTAATATTTGATTTAAATTAAAATTTGTTTGATTGAGATGGTTATTTTAAAAACTTTCAAAATTTTTTTTATATATTTTAAATATTTTGAATACAATTGGACTTATTTTTAAGTATAAAATATAAAAATATATAAAGATTATATCAACAAAATAAAAAATCTAAAGTGATGCTAAATGGGGCTTTTAGTTTTTTAAAGTTAATATAATTAAACTTATTATTTTCTATTTTATATTTTTTTAATATTTTATTTATTTAATTTATAAAAACACTCAACTGCGATAGAGGCTTGCCGCTTTTAAGAAGAGGCAATCTGATGAGACCACCAATAGCCACAATAGTGACTCATCAGATCAAGTGGTGGAAGTAAATCTCTTCTACCAAGAAGCTTCAAGTAGCAAACATTTGATGTCATGTCAATTTAACATTAAATATCAATAGGGGTGTCAAAAATTGATCTGACACACCAACCTGACTCGAACTCGACTTAAAAAATTTGCGTTAGGGTTAACCCAAATATTTTTGGTATCGAGTTCGGGCTAGATAATTCGACCCATTTATTATTCAGGTCGGGTTCGGGCTGAAGCTGAAAATCAAAACATGGCCCGAGTAAGTACGAAATTTCAAGTCGGATTCGGGTTAGCGGATCAAGTTTGGGTTCAGGTCTTACGACCCATATATTATTCGGGACGGGTTCGGGTTATTTTTGGGTCGTTTCATTTTCTGGTTGGACCCGAACTTGACCCGCTGACCCGAACTAGTACCTCTAAGTATCAACGAAGAAACCATAATCTTGGACTAGAAGTGGATGTATAGGATTTTGACGGTCACATGGATTCAAATGAGTTTATTGAGTGACTTCAAACAACAAAATGAATTTTTTAGTACAAAAAACATTCCCGGTGACAAAAAGTTAAATTGGCAGCTATCAAGTTAAGGAAGAACACTTATTTGTGGTGAGAGAATTTGAAATGCATTTGATAGCGTGGGAATATAAGAATAAAATCACCCACTGGTTTAAGATGAAAAGGGAGTTGCAATGCAAATGCCTTCGCATTATTCACAGAATACGTTCATAAAACTCCACTGCCAGAGAGATTCTTCTGTGGAGGAGTACACAACTGAATTTGATCAACTCGTATAGAAATATGCGTTGGTGGAATTAGATGAGCACATAGTAGCTAGGTATTTTCAAGGATTGAAGCCATCTATCAATAATGTGGTGTAGTTGCAGTCGTATTAGTCCCTGCTCGGTGTATAAACTCTAGCATTGAATGTGGCAAAACAATAACACCACTAGGTAACCGTCACCCCTTATAGGCAGAATTCAACCCTAGATCATACAACAAGGGTACACTTAGCGGAGCATTCAAATCATTATTGTCAGGGAGAAACCAAGCCAAAGTGGAGAAAAGGTGGAGTTTACTAGCACTCCCAAATCGGTCCCAATCAGAAAGTGCTTAAAATGTCACGGTTCTGGGAACATTGCATCATATTGCCCAAACAGGAGGATAATCCCATTGATAAAGCAGGGAGTAGTGAAAAACATAGACAATTACACATGAGACATTAAGTATGAGCTTGAAAAGACGTAAAATGAGGAGTTTCAACTTTCAACTGATGACAGAAAGATGTTTGTGATTTGACAGGTCCTTCAAATTGAGTGTGAGAGTAGGACCACCACGATCAACATTGATTATTTTAATGTACAAAGGGGTCCAAGGAGCTGATATCAGATTCAAGGCAACCCCAACTAAATGGATTTCAAGATTTTCCGATATATAGCCCACCTCCTAGGTTGTCTCTTTATGTTAAGGAAGAACACTTATTGAAGTGCTGCATCAATAAGATCTATCATCACTTTTAGAAATGATAAAAGTTTGAGTGATTTTTGAAAAAAAAAATATGGAGTAAATTGAGTACTAAGTTTTAATTTAGTTTGATAGCACACCCATGGGTAGATGGCCAGATAAGAGCGGTGAACCATAGGTTTGGAAATCCCTTTATGTGTTTTGTGGGAAAGAACATCCGACAATGAGATCCAAACCATTTCATAGATAAAGAGGAAGCCTCTCCTAGCTGGGAGAATGACGCGGAGCTTTCTTATGGAATCCCGGTCTATGATCTCGTGATTGCGGGATTCCGCAATTGAAATCAATCCCACGAAGACGAGACGCTGCCAGTCGCGCAACCATCAAAACCGCTAATGCAATTGGGCCACTGTACTGTCTCGTTACCAAATTCAATATGAATTTTTGCGTTTTCTAGTTTATTTTATATTTATTTTTTTCTAATTAGGGTCTTTTCTAGCGTAGGACTATTTATATATTTTATCTTTGTGTTTTGGGGACTTTTGGCTTTGTTTATGTTATTCGGATATGTTTTTTCTTGGGTTTTCTCTATTGGAGTGTTGTATCATTGGATTTCTTTTGGGTGGTATACTGGTGTTCCTAACTTGATTGGATTGAGGTGGGTGATCTCTCCTTGATGTTCGAAGGACTCCTTTGCCATCGAATTTGCCGTCTACTGCTGCTGACAGCAGTAGGTTGCTGTTGGGCAGCGGAAAACAGTATTTTTGGTTTGCTGTCCAGCCACCATTCACGCTGGAATTCAGCTTCCATCATTCCTCCTCTCTTCTTTACCACTCCTACAACCCTTTCTTGTATTCTTTTACGCCTTCCCGGAGCCCTAGAATGATCTCATTGATGCTACACAAAGGTTTTGGTAATGTTTTGAGAATGAATTTCTATAGATTAACGCTAAAATTGTAACAAACAAAAGCTATTTTTGTGCTGTTTTTCCAAAATTTTTAATGAATTTTTTAGTGAAGGAATTTGAGAAATTGAGAACTTGCACATACAAAGTTTTCTTGTTAAGCTAATTCTACTGTCCAGTAGAAGCTATCATCTTGACTGGCCAACTTCTACAAATTCCCTAATTTTTCTGCTGCATGATTGAATTTTGCCCTTCCCTAACAAGCAGCGAGTGCAGCATATGTTTCAGCCTAAGACAAAACAATTAATTGCTGGTTTTTTTTTGTTCTTTGAACGCACGAAAATGCTTGAACATTTACCCTGTGCCTTTGGGGAAAAGAAAGCTACTAAACTCTACTAATATTGATTTATTATTATTATTTTTTTTTGGCAGCAGAACCAACTACTACACTAGAATTCTCTTCATTTGTTACATCTGCTGATTATATATCTTTAATGACACCAATAGATTATATGATTTTATTTTTTGTTTCTAGTTTATTTATCTTCCCCTTCATTATAGCAGCATATGACAAAGACTCATTTTCTTCTCTTTTGCATTCCTTTTTTTTTTAAATATTGTAGAGAGAACAAGAACTTAACAGGGACGGCTAGATATGCAAGCATGAATACTCATCTTGGCATTGGTATGCGTTTTCACAAAATGCTTCTAGAATTATTTGCATATCGGTTCTACTTCCAGTGTTATATAATTTTATCTTATCAGCGCCATAATTTGCATCAAATTAACTTAAAAGGCAATTCAATTGCTTTTACAACCGTTCCGTTTGAAGCATATTTTATAATAAGCTTCTAATCACTGTGCTCTTTGGATCCTTTAAAGAGCAAAGCAGGAGGGATGATCTGGAATCTCTAGGATTTGTGCTGATGTATTTTCTAAGGGGAAGGTGCATCTTGTTTCTTTGCAATTTAAACTGATAGAGTTATTATCAATTACATTCCTGTTTTTAATGTAATTTTCTCCATTTGTATTTAGTCTTCCATGGCAGGGCCTAAAAGCAGGAACAAAAAAACAAAAGTATGAGAAAATTAGCGAACGAAAAGTCTCCACATCCATTGAAGTAATATTATATATAGATAATGAGTTTGACCTTGATATCTCATGTTTCTCGTTCGACTAGACATTGACAATGTCTGTTTTGTAGGCCTTATGCCGAGGTTTTCCTACCGAATTTGCATCCTACTTCCACTATTGCCGTTCGCTAAGATTCGATGATAAGCCTGATTATACTTATCTTAAGAGACTTTTCCGTGATCTTTTTATTCGTGAAGGTTGCACTACTTTCTGAAATTAGTCAATTTTTGTTTATAAGATATTCTTGTTTTGCAAAACTAGAATTTTTAGAATAATTAACGTTTGTAATATTTGTCGGTTTTTAGGTTTCCAGTTTGATTATGTGTTTGATTGGACAATTTTGAAGTATCAACAATCCCACAGTGCAAATGTTCCACCACGAGCTCTCGTGAGTTTTGAAGGAAGGGTTGTTTTATGAAGTATAAGTTCATCTAATGTTTTTTTTCTTTATTCTTTTTTTAGGGATCTGGTGCTGGACCGAGCAATGGCGTTGCTTCTGCAATTCCTGAGAAGAACTCAGGTGATTTTTTGCATTTTGACTATTTTTTGTATTAGAAGGGAAAAGGTCTAGCTTTATTTTGTATTAGTAGAAGGAAAAGGTCTAGCTTGCCAACTTATGTAAATTTCTTTATGGTATCTGTTTTTTTCTGAGATGCACTGATATATTTATGATTTCTTTTAAGATATGGTACAACTATTTTAGGTAAATTGATATACATACCACATAATTCTTATGTATTTACATTTCTAACACCAAAAGTTTGATATTTACCTTATAACCCCCGGCGTCATAAACCTATGCATGAAAGAAGATTTATTTTACTTTTAAAAGTAGTGATGGTGATATTTTTATGTGATGTTAAAGATTTGAACGGTATGCATATAAATATGATGGTTAGGTGTTAGATATGCATCTCCATAAGAATTGTGTGGTATGTATGTAAATGCCCCAATATTATAATGTGCAACTGCAGTTTTGTATGAACAAATCAACTAATAATCATTGCATGAAATGATACTGTATTTACAACCTTAGGGTATTACTTCTCTAGGTGAGGAAGGGCGGACGAGCGGATGGTCTGCTACTGATCCGTCTCGTCGGCGATTGTCAGTACCTGCCGTATCTGCAGGTAGCTTAACTAAGCAGAAGAATTCAGGGGTAAATGATTTACCTGCTTCGAAAGATGTGGTAAGTGTTTTTTATTTTATTTATGTATTTATTTTTCTTGTTGGTTTTTGGTTTAGGCATTCTGAATTTCTTGTGAATTATGATGCGTTGTTGCCTTTTTTTTAATGCAAAACTATGTCTTACATGTCTTGTTTTATTATTTCAAAGAAGTAAACATTGTATTGTTCAATTTTTTTATTCAAACTGTAAATTCTAAAATAATTGGCATTTATCTTGTGGCTGATGCTTTTGAAGATATATATTGTCTATGCAAATATTTTGACCCATTTTGGTTTTGTATTATTGCTTTCTCAAGTATATGAGGAAGAAGTGACAATTTTTTTTCGATATCTGTTAAAATATGGCCAGCATCTATACCATGCGCTTTATCAATCTTCTTTTATATTCATATTGTAATTTCATGCTCATTATTTAATAAGCAGATTTGAGGAGGATAGTTTCTCTATTGAAGAAGACATGCATTGGTTAGAAAACTTCTAATACAATGAATACCAGAACATAGCAGAAACAAAGAAGGAGAACATTAGATGTAAGAGCAGCTTCTGCAAGATAGAATAACATTCGAGATATTTTATGTATAACCTAAGCCTCAGCTATAGAAGTATATATATTTAAATATAATAAATACATAGACTTCTCCATTAATAGAAATGAGTGGAAAATGACAGGTTGTTGTCTATGAGTCAGGTCAAGTTGGGGGGTCCCAACACAAAATCCTTGCATAAGCAGAAAAATCCTAGTAATTTGTCTTTTTCATCGCATAATCTGACAGCTCGGCCAACTGTCATTTTAATAAAAGATAAGTTGATGATCATATTCTTTCCTCTGTTCTTGCTAACTGTTGTTGGAAGAGTTAGGAAATGTGAAATTTTCTCTTTGGCGTATCCCTAAAACAGAAATAAAATCCAATAATAAAAAAAAAAAAAATCTAAAACAACTATCAGGAAATTTCTGAAAAACTATAATATTTAAGTGTGATAACACCCTTGAGTTATGCAAGAGCCTTATAAGTTTAATTTTTATGGCAAAGGAGCTGGTGGAGCTGGTTTGTGTGGATCTCTTGCATAAGCAGCTTGTATAATATGAACATATGAAGTATATTAGAGGATTTGGAGCTGGTTTGTGTGAATCTCTTATGTCTTTATTTTATTGACATCATGTACGTTTTCATGGTCGCATGCGAGTGATAACATGATCTCAGCCTATATTTCTTGAAAGTAAGTGTATGATTGTTTTGAACCCAGGAGATGAACATGCTTATTTGGAGACGAATTTTGCAAAAATATCAAAATTTGTGGATCAATTTGTTTCATCTCAATAATAGTTGTTCATGTCCCCCATCCTTGAGCCCCCAATTTAAATTGCCGAGTTCTTAGTGCTCCGCTTTTGCCTTTGCTTCTTGAGTTTTCCTTTTTCATCCGAGTCCATGATAGCATCTACTAACACCCAACAAGAAGTCCTATTTGCAAGCCCCTATCCCAATTTGCCTTCCCATTTACTTCAGTGGAGTGTTTGCATTTTGCCACTAACATGATTAAAGGTATATTTTGAATTTTTCCATTCAGACTTAAAAGTGAATTACATACACCTTTGAAGCCTGGAATGCAAGTACTTAATGAGAAGTAAATATATGCTTGACATGTGCTAAAGTTTAATCTAAAGATCAACTATTGTCTATGGATTTTTCCTATTTGAATTGACAATATTATGGTAATTTTTTAAAAAGATGTTTTATGGAACCCTTTTATATGGTGATAACTTGCCCGCGACACCAACAAGTCATCTGATAAGATAAAGTAGTCCTATAATTTATCTTCACGTTTGATATATTATTTTTGCTTCAAATTAGGGTCAAATCTGAAGAACTTCTTCCTGGTGATGTGTACAATAAGTGCTTTCCAATGGTCTTTTGATTTAACATCTATAGTGCAAATATGTTTTGGTTAATGACTCTTGATCGTGAACATGTTTGATTGTGTTAATTTCTTAGCTCTCACGCTTTATAAATAAATTTTAGATGGGTAACGTATATATTAAATGTTCTTTCCTAAATTTTCACCTTGAAACATATAGATGTAATTTTATTTAAAAATTTCCCAAATTTTTAGTACAAAGAGGACAGACTAGAGCAGAAGGTCATTATATTAGAAATTTTTGAATTGGAGGTTCATTCAAGCAATAACCTTTGTAGGATAAAAATCATTATGTATTCTCCATTCTATGAACAGTTGCTTTCAACCCCTAAGTACATGAAATATTAAAAAGCTTTGTTCGTATCTCTTTTCAATTTTATTACAAAGCGAGGTTGTAATTTCTAATGATGCTTTAGTAATGAAGCAATCACAATTATTTGCGTTTTATATATGTTGTTATTATCACTGCTATTTGCATTTTATTATGTCAATGAAACTGTAAAAAGATTTTGAATTGATTTACCTTATATTATCTTCATTTTTATCGACTTGATCTATGCCTATAGAAATACTTGTCATGATGAGAATATTTGAAATCATTTTTGGTCTAGTTGACACACAAGTGGGAGACTGATGCTAAATAAATAAAGATATCTTTTTCTTCATTGACGAAGAAAGCAAGATCATGTATTGTTGTTCTTTACGTTGGAGGAGTTGATGTCATGACTGTCCTCTACTAAAATGATACATCATTCTAACTTTAAACTAAAATGCTTTCTGTTTGTCTCTATGATTTTGTTTTCAAGTTCGATGATATCTTTAAAGAAAATGCTTTTTTTTACCATCAATTCTTGTTCTCCCGGTAACTGTCCTACTAACTTTGTATTTTTTTTTTTTTCGTTTTTTGTATAGCATATTAATGCTTGATTCATATATAGAAAATTATTGCTCTGAATATAAACAAAAGCATGACTATTATATGGTTTAAATAAGGTTCTATTTATGGTTAAACCATATTCAAATCTAGTTTGAATTATATTTGAACTGGGTTCAAAGCTTTGTGAACCATGTTTAAATAATGTTCAATGAAATTTTAGACAATGATACACCATGGTGTAGGCTATGTTACACCATGATTTTAACTATGTTCTAACAAGATTTCAATAACATTTTTGGATTGAATAAGTTTTTTACATTGCTCTAACCTCATTCAAACCAGTCTCTTCAGTCCTCTTCCTAGTTTTGTTTTTGTCATCATCGAAAGTGATTTCCAGTCAATTGTTCAAATCCAATATGAATCATATAAATCATTGCACATTGACTTGAATCATTTGATATAAGATTATTTAAACATTTAAAAAATACTTATTTTTTATTTCTGAAGTATGTATTAAAGTACTTTGTTCGATTTGGCTTCAATCATTGCAATCTTCTTATTCTATTGTAAGAAGAATTTGAAATGAAGGTATGTTGAATTAGCAATGGAGAATGCTTGTAAGTGCATGGAGGGGGGTTGGGAACGCCATACTAAGTGTTTTAATGTGAGATATACTTCAACAGGAATATAGGCATATAATTAGATTTTATGTTCAAATTGAATTTCGGTTTATATTTCTCCAAACAAAAACATAGCAGGCATATCTGTCCAATTACGACTATAATGAGGCATATAAAGTCAAACTTTTTAGAGGATAGTAAAAGATCAAACAATAAAGAAAGAGATGGTGAGTAGTATAACCAAAAAAAGAAAAAAAAATCATATAGCTTTATTCCCCGTTCATGTTAATTATATGTTTTTTTGTCTTTATCAAACTTTTCTTTGATACCATCGAGCTTATTCCTACACTTACATGCTTGTTTGTGACAATATCACAATTGTTACAAGTTACAACATTATGATTACTTCCGCATCATAATTAACATGTGTAATATGAACATATGAAGTATAATTAGAGGATCTGAATTTAAATGTGTATTTATTTTATCGACATCATGTAGGATTTCATGGTCGCATGCTAGTGATAACATGATCTCAACCTATATTTCTTTAAAGTAAGCGTATGATAGTTTTGAAACATGTCAATCAACATTCTTATTTGGAGACGAATTTTGCAAAAAAATTAAAATTTGTGGATCACTTTGTTTCATCTCAATAATCGTGGTTCATGTCCCATCCTTGAGCCCCCAATTTGTCCCTCACTGCCTTTGATTGCCAAATTGTTGAGCTCTTAGTGCTCCACTTTTGCCTTTGCTTTTTGAGTATTCCTTTCTCATCATTGTCCATGATAGCATCTACTAACACCCAATAACATGTCCTATTTGCGAGCCCCTATCCCAATTTGCCTTCCCATTTACCTCAGTTGAGTGGTTGCATGTTGCCACTAGCATGATTAAAGTACATTATTTCATTCAGACTTAACATTGAATTACATACATCCTTGAACCTTGAATGCTAAACTTTAATGAGAAGTAAATTGATACGGGAAATGTGCTAAAATTTCAATCTAGAACCTCGTTTACTAGTTTCAGGTTTATTACGAAGCTAGGTTGTAATTTTTAATGATGCTTTAGTAATGAAGCAATCACAATTATTTGCATTTTATATATATCCTTTTCATTACTTTTTTTTTTGCATTCTATTATGTTCAAATCATCACTTTCATCAAATCTTAAGTCAATGAAATTGTAAAAGATTTTGAATTGATTGACATTATATTATCTTCTTTCGTTACCACTTGATCTATGTTTATAGAAATACTTCTATCATGATGAGAATATTTACTTGTAATCATTTTTGTATGTAGTCGACACAAATGGGAGATCGATGTTGAATAAATAAAGATATCCCATTGAAGAACAAAGTAAGGTCATATATTATTATTCTTTATGTTGGAGGAGTTGATGTCATGACTGTCCTCTACTAAAATGATACATCACTTCTAACTTTAAACTAAAACTTCTTCTCCTTCTCTACGATTTTGTATTGAAGATCGATGATATTTTGATGGAAATGCTTTGTTGAACCATCAATTCCTTCTGTCTCCTATTGAATGTCCTACTAACTTGTGTGTCTTTTTTTTCATTCTTCATATACCATAAGAATATTAAGGCTTGATTCATATTTTAAAAAAATTGCTCTGAATGTAAACATAAGCATGACTATCATATGGTTCAAATAAGTTTCTATTTATGGTTAAACCATACTATAATCTAATCTGAATTTTATTTGAACTGGGTTTGAAGCTTTTTTAACCATGTTTGAATAATGTTCAACCAAGTTTCAGACAATAATATATATCATGGTTTTGGCCATGTTAGAACATGATTTTAACTACGGTCTAACAAAATTCCAATAACCTTTCTGTTACACATAAGTTTTTTACATTGCTCAAAGCTTATTCAACCCAGTCTCTTCAGTCCTCTTCCTACTTCTATTTTTTGTTTTCATCAAAATGATTTCAAGTCAATTGTTCAAACCCAATTTAAAGCATATGAATCATTGCACATTCACTTGAATCATTTGATATAAAGATTATTTAAACATTAAAAAAATACTGATTTATTTCTGAAGTTTGTATTAAAGTACTTTGTTCGAAAGTGTAATGAATTAGCAATGGAGAATGCTTGTAAGTGTATGGAGTTGGGAACGCCATTGTTCAGTGGTTTAATGTGAGCTATACTTCAGCTGGGATATAGGCATATATAGAGTTTTTATGTCCAAGTTAAACTTCAGTTATATTTCTCCAAACAAAAACATAGCGGGCATATCTGTCCAAATACACTATAATGAGGCATATAAAGTTAAATTTTTTAGAGGATAATAAAATATCAAATAATAAAGAAAGAGACTGAAAGTAGTATAACAAAAAAATATCCTAGAGCTCTATTCGTCGTTCATGTTAAATAGGCGTTTTTTGTCTTTGCGAAACTCTTCTTTGAGCTTATTCCTACTACACTTACATGCTTGTTTGTTACAATATCTCACATGTTACAAGTTACAACATTATTATCGAAAGAAAGTTAACATTATTAGATAGATTGACTTAAACTTCATCGAAAGGGTGCAAAAAATTATTTGGTTTAGAGAGATTGACTTAATCTATGTCCATAGACATTTGGAAAAAAATATTCTTCCGTAATTAAACTGGTACACCATAATTTTCTTTGTCAAAGAATCTTATAATTATTTGGAGAAGGATAATGAAAGACCTAACAACTAAGAAAGAAAGTTGGTATTATTATGTAAAAACACCTTGCCTTTTACTTGTTGCTCATTTCAACTCGATACTTTCTATCATTTTCAAATTTGTCGTTGATATCATCAGGCTTATGCCATCGCCACCATATTTGTCTACGCCAACTTTGCGCTTGCCTATAAAAACACCTCATCTGCACCACATTGAAATAGTTCACCGTGATGGAAAGTTGATTAATTTTTCTTGTCTTTTGTCCTCTTCAATATTCTCTCTTTTTGCTTTCTTCTGCTATTATTCAGTTCCCTCATTGTTTGTCACGTCAATCTTTTCTATTTTTTCTTTCAGCACGAAAAAACGCACAATAATCCACAATTGCTAACGTATACTCACGGGATTGATACTTAATGTTTGCCTCCTATTTTTTAGTGTTTATGGGAGTTGAAGTAAATGGAAGGAAATATAATCTAAATTTTGATTTGAATCCAATCCATAATAAAAAAATTGTGGTAACATTTTGAGCTTATTTTCTTGCAAGAAGTTAATTTATACTTATGTTTAAAAATATTTGTTTTGAATTTTTTGCTTGTATTATGTTACAAAAAATTGGGTGCCTACAAATTAAGAATCTCTTTGTTGGAATTTGCTTTTTTGATTTGAGGATCTATAGCAATTTATTTGAGACTAGACCTCTTGATTATCCATAAAAGTTAAATTGGGCTTTGGAAATCTCCAACTTGTTCGCTGTAATTTTCTATGTGTGCATTGCAGTCATGTTCTCAAAATTTTTAATTTTATTCAATAATGCTATGCTTGATTTTAATAATTTCCCTGTAAGTGGTATTTTAGCCGAGAGTATTTTTTTTTGGAATAAAATGGTGTATTTTTAAGTAAGCTCGATCACAATGCAACCATTAAATTGAATAACACTGCTATCCCGTTTTTTATAACTTTTTCAAGATTCCTTCAACCAAACACTTTTCTGCTTTCTATAATTAAAAACATATTCCTTTTGTGGACCATATAGATGCCCTCTAAAACTACAATGATGAAAAGTTTTTATTTGACGCCTAGTTGCCCAAAATTCAATATTTATACTGCCATTGTGCTCAACAACAGGCTAATTATAATCATTTGACAACAATATAAAAAAATATTATTAAAATCAATATGTTCATTTTGCTGAAATCTTTTTAACTTTAGCTTGCCTTGCAACTTTTATTTCCATTATGCTCTTCTTCGATCCTAAAAATTTTTTGTTTGATGAGGTTCTCTCATTCTTTCTTAATTTAGTTAGTGTTCAGTATTATTTTACAAATCATATGCCCAACTCCTTTCTTAAATTTATTTCATATACAATGTCCTCAAAAAAAAAAAAAAATGATCGATGGATCATTGACCATCATGGTTGGTCAAAGAAATATTCCAAAAAGTTCGTACAACTATTAGTATTCTCTTTTTTCTAAGAAAGCCATAAATCTAAGGGGGTGTTTGGCTTTACATAGAATTTAGTAAATACGGTAAATTCAAATTTATAAAATCTGGTGCTGGTAAATCTTAAGATGTTTGGTATGATTTAACCAATATCCGCTTAACTCCATCTCTTATTTTTGGCATATTATCATGATTTAAAACTTTATTATTTTACCTCTCCTTAATTCCCGTAAATCCAACACTTGAACGGATTTATTAAATTCAGGATTTATGGTACGGCATAGGAATTATTGGATTTAGCGGACGACCGCTTTTAGAGCCTTCAAAATTCGCTTGCGAAATGGAGACGGCATTGTTCTTATAAATTTAGAAGTGCGGCCTTTGTTTATATACATTTATATGATAGAGAAAAATTTGATCTTCAATCATTGAAATGCTTTTTTCATTTACTATTCTCCCACACAAAAAAGGGTACAAATGCTACCATTGTCCTACAAGAAAGTTGTATGTGTTTGTTGATGTCACTTTCTATAAAAAAAATACTATTTTGTTGTTATTTATTCTGTGAAAGAAATATCATTCATAAATATTTTTTTTCTTCTAGACTGGCTTTCATTCTTTCCTTATCCTATCAAACACTTTTATTCCTTAACTACTAATCCTTACCAAAAAATTTCCCCTTTTTTTCATCATTATTCTGAGCTCCTACACATTCTGTTCTCAATATAACCATGTATATGAAATTGCATTAGCTAATACTAATGTTATTAACCTCAGAGAATCATATCCCATCATTTCTTTACACCATTGATTCTTAGTGTATATTATTTGTCTTTATCAGGCAATTCCTGACCGTGAATGCATGTCCAATGTAGTTAACGAATTCAGCTTCTTTGGGGCTTTCAACCGGTTCTTTAAGACGGCCTGCTGTTTCTAACAGTCGGGATGCTGCAGCGGCGATGGAGCTCACCCCGGAAACAAGCCATGGACCTTCCCACAGAGTTTCTATTAATCAGATTTATTCTCCTCCGGGTGTGTCGGAAGCTAACAAGCAGACAGTGCATGGAAGGAATCTGCCTGCCATTAAGAACTATGAATCCACACTCAAAGGCATAGAGCGGCTTAATTTTGACAGCGACAAGATTGTGCAGTAAAGGATGCCATGTTTTAACTTTCTTCTGTTGTAAATTATGTGTGTTGGTTGGGACCTGGGAGTGCATGAAATAGTTGTGCAGAAAGTTTGATTATTGGTGATTTGATTAAACAATGGGACTGAGAAAATTATATGGGCAATCAGGGAATAGATTTTAAGCCCGAATGCCTATGGAAGGAATGTTTATTTGTATGTATATTTTTCTTAATTCTTATTCCGTTATGGTTGCTTTTGTTTTTCTGTAAATCAGTTGATAGATTTCTGTTTTTTTCTTCCTAATAAATTTGAGAAAGTTATATTATGTAGAGATATACTTTTGTGAAATTTACGTATTATTATTATTATTATTAACATATAGCTTATTTGGATCAATTTGGTGTTCACTTGAGAAATGTCTTTGTTTTGATGAGTTTTCTATTTATCTTTCTTTAGGTAAGTAAGTACTTGTTTTCTTGCACCATTTATTAAGAAAAGATTGCATCCGGATGACCTACAGACCTACACCCGGATTAGGTGATAGTGTGATTGAAGGTGTTATTAGTAGTATTGTTGTGTTATTTTGATAAAATAATATCACAATATTATCAATTACACCTAAATTCTATCATCCGTATATGAAACTACTTAAACCTAAATTTTCAGCACCAAATCAATTAAATTTTATTATTACTATTATTATTATAAAAATAAAAGTAATTACAATTATAAATATTTCAATTTGCTATTAATATGGTTAGAAAAATAGTTGCTAATCACTGAACTAATCAATTATAGGGCATGCAAAAATTTTAGGTCAAAGATTATATATATATATCACTGAACTAATTTTAGATTCGAAAAGCCCGTAGCAGGATTCGAACTCCCGATCTGAGAGATTTATGGCAGAGGCCACACCAATGAGCCAGGTCATTCGTGTGTGCGTGCGTGCGTGGGGGTGTGACCATATTAAAGATAAACGATATATTGATGACTTTATAATAGTCATGAAGGTAAGTTACTAAATTAAAACAATCAGCTTAAAAAACACAGCTTTGATTTACAAAAGCAAATCCATCTGCTTTCAAATCAAAGCAGATTATTATACAAAACCATGTTCACAATTACTTAACCATAGTTTATTCACAATAACTGTACAATAAACACAATTCAACGAGGGCATATATGCTTTACTCATGATTTCTAAGAAGGTAAAATCCCATTAGAAGGTCATATTGATGCACTCTTCTCTGATTTCCTCGAACAATTCTGTGCTCATGTATCTTTCTGCAGCACTTGGAAACACAGTTACAATCATCTTCCCTTTGTTTTCTTCCCTCCTGCCAATCTAAAAACAAAAATCAACAATTAAAAAATAGGAAGATCTACATGCATTCCACTCAATTCTTATGTATTTATATATCTAACACCTATACTGCAATTTTTACATTTATCTTCCATCTTACATATATATGAAAAAGTGGGGAATTTTTTATGTGATATGAAAAAAATTGATTGGTATAAATGTAAAAATCAAAGCTTAGGTGTTAGATTGAATCAAAACAGAGCTTCAATTTTGGGTTTTAAGGGAGAGCCAACCTTTACGGAGGCAGCCAAGGCTGCTCCAGATGAAATACCCATAACCAGTCCTTCCTCTAGAGCAAGTCTTCTGGCATGGCCCATTGCCTCTGCTGTGGTGACTGTGATGATTTCATCAATGAGGGAAGTGTCTAAGATTTCTGGAACAAATCCTGGCCCTAGACCCTGAATGTTGTGGGTCCCGGGTTGACCGCCTACATCACGAAATAAATAAAACTAAACTATGTAGAATGTTATTGAAATAAAGCTCAAATAGAAGGTTGGAATGTCTGTTTTCTTTATACTGAAGATCACATCCATCAATTTTCATGAAGATTTAACTCATTATTAAATGAAATGTAAGAAATTTATCATGTATTTCACTGATCAAAATCATCCAATGCATGCAAAATATTATTTAAAACCCAAGTACACAGTTACTAAGCTATTTGAAAATCTCTACATTTTGAAATTACAATTATTTTATTATGAATTCAGAGCCATACATTATGAAAAAATCTGATGCAATTGATTGAAGATCATATGGTTCTAAAAATTCTAGAAGCTGAACATGCTACTAATTTTAATGATAGTAGAGGGAATGGACGAATTTGATCTTGTACTTGAAAGCCATAAAATCATATTTTCATTGGATGGAGAATGGAGATTCTCCTCCTAGAGATGAAAAATAAATGCAAATAATTCAATATGTGTTAATATTCACCTCTCTTGCATTAGATTCACATTAGATTGGTTACAGCCTACAAAGCTTGATCAAGGTAAGACTAAACCATACCAATGTCAGGCTTATTCCGCCTAGAAAGCACGTTTTGCTATGTTAAATCTACACAAGATTATAATTAATGATTAACAGCAATAATATTCAATATGAGGCAGGAAAAAAACCAAAAAAATTGCGAAGCCGCTGGGAAGATATTTCATGTCATGAAAAAAAAGACTAATAATAAATTGCATTATTTGAATAGGATTCGAAAATAGATATTTCAAAACAAATTTAAAAAAAAAAAACATCAAGAGACATAAAACTAACTGCTAAATTTAATTATAATTGCTATTAAATTCGTTCAACAACAGAAAGAAAGTCAACTTGATTCATTAACATGCCTTGATTGCACCTACAAACATTTTTGTCCAAAAATCATAGAATTATAACACTACCAATTACGCCTTTCTGCCCTTAACAAAAATCCATATGCTTTTCCAACTGATAACTAAATCAAATCTCACCTGAAATGACTGCACTCTCTACAGGTTCAACACAAATAATCTTAATCGCTGGATTTTTCATTTTGAGAAATCTTCCAGCACCAGTAATAGTACCTCCAGACCCAGACCCAGATACAAAAATATCAACTTTGCCCGCCGTATCCTTCCATATTTCAGGCCCTGAAACAGAATGTGAAGTCACTATATAGAACATAGCAGAAAAATTCTTATGAACTGCAAAGATAACAACTGGGCCTTTAATTTTTATTTTCTTTTCAGTGTAAAGGGCACTGGCTGGGAACAGTTTGAAGAGACTTATAAATTATGTAAGGGATTCAGAAAGAAAAAATTGTGAGAAATCTGTACCAGTGCTTAGAAAGTGCGCCTCAGGATTTGCTGGGTTAGTTGTTTGATCTAGAACAAACATATTAGGATCTTTCTCTTTCAATTGATCCACTCTGTCATATATTCCCTTGATCCCTAGTTTAGGATCTGTAAGATAATCAAGCAAAAAAAAGGGATGTGAATAAATTTGTGGTGAATGAAAAAATATGTATGTCAAATAGTTTTTAAAAACGAAGCACAGATTCAATGTCTATAGGATTCAATAACAGGAGCATGACAGTGATTTCATGTCTTTACCAACTTGAAATTGCTAGCATTCACTTAAAATCAAGTCATTATTACAGTTTTGGGAAATTTACATACATATCACACAATGATTATGTATTTACATACCTAACACTTAAAGTTTGATATTTACACTTATAACATTTTGCTGTCATAAACCCATGCATGCAAAGGTATATTTCACTTTCAAAAGGTTAACAATGATGATATTTTTAATGCAATCTTAAGGTTTTGAGTGTTATATAAATGTAGATATGAAAGCTTCGGTGTTAAGATATGTAAATACATAAGAATTGTGCCCTACAATTTTTGTCATCCAATATTCTCCTGAACAATATTGATTAGATACTAAGGAGGGTAAAAATATATGTATAAACTAGCCAAACAAAAAGAAAAGAAAAGTAATAACTCAAGTAAAATGTATTAAAGATGAAAATCAAAAAGTGATTTTCTCAGAAAAAGATATTCAACATAGGCAGGTGAATTATTTTGATAAACTTTTTAATGAAGTTTCTGAAAATAAGATCGACCTTCGTGATCTTAATATCGTTAATAATAATGAAACGTTTTATTTTTACCATCGCATTAGTAAAAAAGAGGTTGAGGAGGCTTTAAAGAAAACCAAAGGTGGAAAGTCTGTAGGTCCTCATGATATCCCAATTGAAATATGAAAATATTTAGGAGATTTGAGAGTTTCGTGACTTACTTAACTCTTTAATATTATTTTAAAAACTAAAATGATGTCTGAAGAATTGAGGAAGAGTATTTTGGTCCCCATCTTTAAGAATAAAGGGGATGCACAAGAGTGTGCAAATTATAGAGGAATTAAGTCGATGTGTATACTTTAAAATTATGGAAGAGGGTAATTAAACATATGTTAAGACATATTGCAAAGATTTCTCATAATCAATTTGGATTTATGCTGAGCAGGTCTACTATGGAAGCTATACATTTATTGAGAGGTTTGATGGAGAAGTTTAGAGATAATAAGGAGAATCTACATTTGATTTTTATTGATTTATTTATTGATTTAGAAAAAGCTTACTGTAAGGTTTTAAGAGAAATTCTTTGGAGAGTTCTAGAGAAGTGTATTGATATGACTTATATTCAGGTCACTAAAGATATGTATACTAGAGTTGTTACTTGTGTTCGAACAGAATGAGGATTTTAGTTGGATTACGTCAAGGATCGACTTTAAGTCAATATTTTTTTGCTTTAGTTACGGATGGTCTTACTAGGCATTTACAGGAGGATGTACCTTGGTGTATGTTTTTTGCTTATGAAATCCTTCTCGTGGATAAGACAAGAGAAAAAAATCCAGAAAAAACTTGAATTATGAAGGTCAACATTGGAGTCTAAAGGCCTTCATTTGAGTAGAACTAAAACTGAATACATGGAATGTAATTTTAGTAGTAGTAACTCTAGTGACATAAGTGTAACTTTGAGTGATCAAATTATTAAAAAGTGTGAACGATTTAGATATCTCAAGTCTATTGTTCAAAGCAATAAAAGCAATAGTTGATATAGATGAGGATGTTAATAGTAGAATTCAAGTTGGTTGGTTGAAGTGGAGGAATGCTTCAAACCTTTTGTGTGATAGAAAAGTACCGCTCAGATTGAAAGGAAAATTTTATAAACGGTGGTGAGATCTGCAATGCTCTATGGCGCTGAATGTTACTTTAAAAGAAAACATAACATTGGTTAAGTGATGCTGAGATGAGAATGATTAGGTGGGGCCTTACACTTAGAGAAAAATGCGAAATTAATATATCTGTGATAGGGTTGGCGTAGCTCCTGTGACAGACAAAAGTAGAGAAAGTCGACTTAGATGGTTTGGTCACATTAAGTGTCGACCAACTGATGATCCGATTAGGAGAGTAGATGCTTTAGATTCGATTTATGTTAAGAAAGGCAAAGGTAGACCTAGGAAGACTTGGGCTTATTGTATAAAAAATGATCTTAATTTATTAGAGCTAAATGAAAATATGATGCTAAAGAGGACATAATGGAGGAAAAAGATTCATGTAGCCGGCCCCACCTAGTGGGATTACGGCTTTGTTGTTTTTGTAATATTTTCCTGAACAAGAGCTTGGTTTGGTTTAGAGTAAGAACAATAAATAAATTCTCCATAACAATTAATAAAAGTAACATAAATAAAACCAATAATATTCCCAATTGAAAGAATCTCATTTCTTTCATACCAGTTAGTAATACTTGGGCTCCCAAATATCTTAAGAGCATGCGTCTTTCGACTGAGTAGTTAGCCGGCATAATAGCAAGGAACTTGTAGCCTTTCCTAATAGCTATAAATGCAAAAGAAATGCCTAGATTTCCACTGGTTGGCGCTACCAATGTATTGATGCCTGGTGAGATGAGGCCTTTCTCTTCAGCATCTTCTACCATTCTGCAGAAGAGAAAAAAAAAATGAATATGGGCCAAAACAAGTGCACATTTTACTTCAGGGGCATTTACATTCATATGACACAATTCTAATATATTTATATATCTAACACCTAAACTCTCATAATTATATGCATAACACTCAAATCTTTGATATCACATCAAAAATACCACTATAATTAGCACTTTAAAAAGTGAATTACACGTTCATGCAAAGGTTTTTAGTACCAACGTGTTATAAATTTAAATATCAAACTTTGGGTGTTAGATAGGTAAATGCATAGGTAAATGCATAAGAATTGTGTGGAAACTTTGGGTGTTAGATAGGTAAATGCATAAGAATTGTGTGGTATGTACATAAATCTATGTCACATTGTACATCAACACCTACCTGAGTGCTCCACGGTCCTTAACCGAGCAAAGAGGCTGATATGACTCAAGTTTGCCAACCAAACGGATATTCAATCCTTCATTTCCTACTATTCTTTTTAGTTCTATCAGTGGCGTCCATCCGATAAACTGAAACAAATACTTGTAGATTAAAATCTTTCCATAGATTAAAAAAATTCTTTCCATAGATTTGAGCAATAATAAAATAGAAAATTTTGGTATGAAATCATGCAATAGCGTTGTACAATCCAGTAATTAAGTTTTTATACAATCAAACATTGTTTAAGTATGATTTTCTCGTACTCTGTTTTCTTTCTTATAATATATAAAGTGGATAATTGAGTGCAATTACTTGTTTATCAACAATCATTAGAATATTAACAACAACAGTAATACTGAATTGAAGAGTGTTACAATAAATAAATAAGTGATGATAGAGGATACTTAATCATGAATAGCACTGATATACCTCTAATGACAGAGAATGATATATATTTAGATGAAAAATAATAGAAATAGTGGCTGACTAATCCTATTTAGCATCTGATTACTTGGGTATAATGGCTATTTATCAAAAAAACGTTTCAAGTAAACAATACTTGGAAGAGAGAAAATTACCTCTTCCACAACCCACTCACTAATTTCAAAAGTACTAAGATTTAGCAAATCTTGTAAATTGAGATTTATTAAAACCTAGAACCATTAAACCTTAAAAAATATTTTATATTGTTAAATTTGAGACTTGAATTTTATGGGTCCCACTTATCGTGCATAAAAAAATTATGATTACATGAATTGATGCTTTATAAGAAAACTGTGAGCACACGGATTGAAGGTTTCGACCATTAGATCATGTTTATAATAGCCTTAGATTGAAATTTGCGTGTTATTGTTTTATTGGCTCATTTTTAATTAATTCCTTGAAAGGGCTCTTGCCAAAACATTAAATACCTCCATTCCATTTTGTGCAAATCATAGTCTCCAGTTGTAATCTCTTATTTGATATAGTGAATTCACCTCTCTGCCCGTGATTTTTACCATCTCGGGCCTTCCAAATAAAATTTGTGTGTTATTTATTTTAAATTCTAAAACTTTTTCATGTTTTAGAATTTAAACTAACTAAATGAAAGAGAAGTGTAAGTCTCTTAAATCCTATTTTCCTTTGATAAGCTAAATCCATAAATTAACCAAAAATGGAAGGGAAAATGAGATTTAAGAAGACAGAAAGATTCATGTGTCTCAAAAACTATTTGGCCCAAACAATCCCATAGTCGCATCTCAATAATATTTTTCTTCCTAAGTGAGCAAACTAGGGTTGCAGGTGAGACCCAATTTGGACGATATGACCTAATGATTCTGTCTTCCATGAAAATTTCCAGGTTGGAAAATTATCTCCACTATAGCTCCCTACACTTTCCAAATGTCTGAAACAGCAAAAGCCAATTGAAGCTGTACCTGAATAATGTCGGAGGCGATGTTTTCCGTCTCTTCTTCTTCATGTGAAGAAATGAAGGAAGGAAGGCCTCTTCTCTGCTCCATGCGATCTGCTTTCCTCTCCCTCACTGATGATGCCTCGGTTAACATTTTATCTGAGTTGATCAAATTCTAGTCAACTACTGTTCAGCTGATTAAGATAGGAAGACGGCGACTCTCTTTATTTTAACAATTTTACATGCATGACACTCAGTTCTTATGAATTTACATATTTACCATTCAAATTTTAATATTTACATAAAAGCTGCCTAAGGTGTGTTGTAAGTCTTAAAAAGTCAAAATAGTGATATTTTTGACATGATATAAAAATTTTGTACGGTATAAATGAAAAAGATAAGATTTGACTTTATAATAAAATCTTATAAAATATATAGGACTGACATAATTTATTGATATAAATTTGATGAGTTTACCTTTTTTTTTTTTTAATAACTTGGTGGCACCATTCTTTGACATTGATTTGGTGTCCTCCTCACTCCATTAGTTGTGTAATGCTTGCTTTATCTCAACTTATTTTAAAATGTTAATTATTATCCCATCATATAAATATTTCATCCCTCACTATGTTTTAATTGGTAGAACCAAATAGTGAATAGATATGTATCCTTGCAAAACTAAGAGATATCTACTAGGGTATATTAAATTAGAAAAGTTAATAAGAAACATCTTAAATGTTTATCATTGATCATTAGTGTTATATAAAGACTCTTGGAATCTTGTTACTTGATGAATTTAAAATTCAAATCCACCTATCTCTTGCCTTGGATAAAATGAAAGAAAATCACTTTGCATTGTTTCGTAGAGATCAACTCATAGACCATCATAGAAATCTTATTAGAAGTTGCATTAGAAATCATTCACTTGAAAAATTAAAAATTTGCTTCTGAGTAGAGATTGTGTAATTGGAACTCTTCTTTTTATTCAAATCATTTGACTTTTTTCAACTATATATATATTTTTTGAAAGCCTCAGTATTTCAAATATGCAGGATTAAAAAACTTACGCCCTAGATTTTTCATTAAGTTTATTGTAGTTCCGGGTGAAATTTAAAAAGGTAGGCTAGCTTTTTAGATAAGTAATATCCAAGTATTTCACCCTCATTTTGCATAAACTTTAAATTTCAGGTTTGATGTTTTCTATAAGTGAAAGATTTTGTGATTAATTACTTCTCCTGAGAATGAGAGAATTTTTTTAAATTATTGCTCCTTATTTAAGATACTGATTATTCAACATATAGTAGTAACAATTTGATCACGGGATTAAAAAATTTATTATCCTTAACTTAAAAATGGATGGTAAGAGTGCACTAATGTGCCTAACTAATAACACATTGTTCTATCAACTAGACTTGCCATGGTCCATGGCCTACTTAATGAGAAGAGATAGTTGATTGAACTTGATCCAAAGGTTCTTGTTACCAGCCATGGGTTACTTTATTTAAGGGAACCTTAACATGATGTAAACTTTTGTCTACGGGGCACTTCTTAAGTTAATCTTAACCATCGAATGACCTTTTTGCTCAATCAAATGTATCATATATTTTATAACTCAGAAGGGAAAAATCACAAGAATATATAGGGCTAAAACCATGAACATAATTTAATTGTGTTAATTGATGAGGAAGCATCCAATCAAAAGACTTGTAAAATATAGACATTAAAATAGAAGACACTATAGAATGTGTGAATGCAAAGGAGTATGAGTTTTTAGATGATAGTGAAATTTGCTAGTAGTTCAACATGTTCTTCACATGAGAGAGCCAACAATGACACCATGATAATATATTTCATACTAATTATACTTTTAAAGGAAAGGCGTGTAGCCTCATTATAGATTGAGAAAACTATGAAAATATGACATCTATACATGTGATGAATAAGTTAAGCCTCATTACTCATGTGTGGTTTGATATCAGCATTATTTTTTGATTTGGTTGAAGAAGGAGAGTAAGATCAGTGTTAAAATTAAATGCCTTGTGGAGTTTTCTATTTAATGCAAGTCTTAAGAGAAAGTGTGGTGTGATATTGTACCTATGGATTTGTATCAAGTTCTAGTAGATCACTCGTGGCAGTAAAATCATTGCACACATAATACTGGTTTTAAGAATACATCTTCTTCCACCAAAAATAGGAAGCACATTACACTCAACTTGAAAGTAGTCAGAGATAATGTGAGCTCATATAGTTTAAGGATGTGATGTTGCAAGCTACATTTTTTTTCAAGCCGTGAGAGAAGCACTTTCAAGGCCAGTTTTGGTTGCACAAAAGTGAAATGACTTTAAGGGGTCGATACCAGACATAATGCAACCCAAGCCCAGTGAATTTAAAGATTACTTAACCTACGACCTATCTCCTAGGCTGCCACTACTTAGGGAGGTCCAACATGTCATCACATCAGATAGAGATGAAATATTTTTGAGCTATTTTTGGAAGACTCTACAAAATAAATTGAGTACTAAATTCTAGTGCAGTTCATCTACACACCCATAGATAGATGGCAAAACAGCAAAGGTGAATTACAGACTTGAAAATCTCCTCAGATATTTTGTGAGAAAGTGTATCAAACAATAGGATCTATGTATTTCCAAAGAAGAAGAAAAAAATCTCTCCCAACCCAAAAGAATGAAGACAATTCACGGAAGCGCCATCTCATTTATGGAACTTCCATGACACCACATAATCAATTATTTCTACGATTGTGGGAAAGTTGGACCTCATGGTTTAGTCTCATTGTCAATTTCTACACAGTTTGTTTCCTTTTCTAAATTTCCTTCATATTTTTTTATTTTTAATTAGGGTCTTTTCTATTACAAGACTATTCATATGTTTGGTATTCAATTTTGAGAGACTTTTTGCTTAATTCTATGTAACTAGGAGAATCTTTCTCAAGTTTTTGCTCTTATGAGTGATGTATTCTTTTTCATTAGCAAATAATGTGTTTGTAGCTTGCCCATGAATAGTTGGTGGATCCCATCACCATTAGTACCTCATTGTTTCACACTTCAATTGCTATTATTAGTATGGACAACAATCGGATTGCTCAATCTTGTTATCTTCAACTGTGAAACTCCTCATTTCCCTTCAAAATATCATCAATCTTGTCTATTCTTGTTCCCTCACAATTCCACAACCATTTTTCTTTTAATATCTTTTCTAAGCATCTTCTAAGAGCTCTAAAATGGTGTCAGAGTTTAGGAGTTCTACCTTTCATTAAGAAATCAAGTGATCCATATAATATGAGTAAAACAAATTCTTATTTAAGAAGAATCCATGGAGATGTTTTATCAGAAAATTTTAACATCTTCTTTTAGTTAAAGTATTTTTTTCTATTTTAATTTAAGTAGATTTCTTTCTCATATGATTAAATTATTATTTTTTATTTCAAAGCCCATCTTTGTAATAAGCTACAGGGCTATATTAGGTTAATGGGTATATATAGTGCTCTCCCCATTCAACACTAATAAATAGGTAGAAAAAAGTTTCTGCAAGGAATATTGCAATTGATACACCAACAAAATTCCATCATTTGACACAAATCTTAAGGTATGACACGGATCTCGTGGCAACTTTTTGAGTAAAAAACCATTCAGAACTCTGATTTCAACAAACTTGCAGTTAAACTGTCTTGCTAGATAAGAAGAACACAATTTTTCCAATATTGGTTCAATTCAAACCAAACCAAGCCCAGTTCAAGCCATTAAACTACATGTGAAAGTTTTTTGACACATTTGAAAGGTCAAACGAATGTGTATTCTGATGAGTCTATAGTCAAATTGAGCGTCTTGACAAGACGAATCCAACGAGCCTAGGATTACTCAATTCTGACATCATTAAGGCATAAAATATTCATCAAATGTCGTCCGATTGAGATGAGCCCTTTGAGCCATCCGATCAAAGTGATTCATTTCTTGCTTTAATTACACCCAAAACTCTATAAATATAGCCCCACCCCTCTCATGAGGAGAGGAGCAGAGCTTAAAGCTTAAGAAAAAACTTGAAGCATTGAGAAAAAGCTGAAGTCCAATACCACTCCTGCCACTGTCGATCACCGTTGATTGTCATTGATCACCGGTGACCGCCATCGACTACGGCAGACCGTCGTCGATCTCTGCCTATCATCGCTAACCACTGTGATCACCATCAACCGGGCACCACCAATCGCTATCGATCACCCATTGTTGTAATTTGGGATACCTATTAACCATTTCCTGCTTATAAGACTAGTGATTGCAACTGTAATCATCTTTTTATAGTGGAACTCTTCAGCTGGGTCAGACCCCATAGTTTTTTCCTTTCAGAGTCTTCCACGTAAGAACTTATGGTGTCATTATTAGTCGCTTTCTCTTTTCTGAATGTGTGCTGAATCTTCATACCACACTAAGATGATAATCTGATACTCTATTATCGTGAATTTTCTAGCACGCATCAGTAATGAAGGTTAAACCCTCATAGTTAATTATCTCTTTAATATGAGAGAGAGAATTTTTTATTAAAGAAGGGAATCTTAATTATAGAGCTAATAGAAATCTTCTTGTAGAATGACATAACTTTACTCTCTTTACACATATAGCTTTATTTTAAATGTTGTTTAACTGCGCATAAATCAAGATTTAATTTAAGTAGGATTAAGCAAACCTTGCAAATCAAGATTTAGCAAAGGGGCATTTACATATATACTGCACAGTTCTTATATAGTTACATATCTCACTCCTAATCTTTCATATTTACACACATAACGCTCAAAATCTTTAATATCACAACAAAAATAACATTATTATCATTTTTTAAATGTGAAATATGCTTTTTCATGCATAGACTTAAAGCACGAAAATGTTTTGTATGTAAATATGATAGTTTAGGTGTGAGATATGTTAATAAATAAACATTGAATGCCACATATGTAATTTCCTAAATTCTGAAAATTGCTTTAATATGGTTGATGCTCAATTTAGTTGAACTCTAGTGAATTGGCTGAAGAAAATGGTAATGATTTAGAATTTAAGAGAATCCTAGGAAAATATGAAATGAAGGAAATATAAATATCTTAGGTCCTATTTCTATTAATACTTTAAAAAATATTTATATTAAAAAGACTTTTAACTTTATTACTTGCAAATGAA